GTGCCTGCTGGTAGGACGCTTGTGAGCGGAGGACTCGACTAGAGAGAACAGAGCGACGGCATAGCGTTGGGGGCAGAGGGTTGGGGAGATGGTGAAGGTAGGAGGTAAAGGAGTGACGAAGAGAAATGCGTCATTATATGCTCTCGATCTTCAGCAGTTGATTACATAAGCAACTATAATATGAGTCGTCAACTGATAGAACATTTCAATTATTGTATTTAGGTATAAAATAAAATAATTAATCTACTTTGTAATATAGAAAAAAGTAATATAACATGTATATAGCTTTCTAAACACACTGATGTAATTATTACAAGTAGATGAAATGCTTTTTACAATAATTGTAAACTATTTGTATAGATAGTCTAAGTATGATATACATATTATATACTTATAGTATACTTTTATTAAGATAATAATTATATAACAAGTGCTCTTACACTATTATATACATTAATATACCTTTTACATAAATTATAAGGCAACAATAGTTATTGTTACATTATTATATTGTAAATATTACCCTTTCTTTGAAATTATAATAAAAATGTAATGCAAGCATAATACTTTAGGCTATTATACAAAGTTAGTATAATACTTTTAATAGATTGTATTCATCCATAACACTTACTTAGCCTTTATATATATTAACATGTCTTATACAAACTTTACAATTGATTTGCAAGTCTTGTAATTACTTTACAATATATATACAATACTTATGTTACTTTACAAAGTCTACAATATATTATAAGAAATGTGACTTTTTCCTGATGAAGAACACAAAGACATTCTTGCTAAAGCCTTGAAGGAAAAAATTAAGGAGCTTGGCAGAGAGAAGGTCTGGGAGGCTCTTACAGAGAAGAAGAAAGAGGAGCACAAAATCAAGTGTAAGAACATGATTTTGTATGAGCTAGACAGTAAGATGTACCTAAATCTTCTAGAGAAGGATAGTATAACTTACAATCTCTAGGTTTGTGCAGGATGTAGTATGTATAAAGATTTGAACACATTAAAAGGGGGATCTACAGGCTTGAAGAAAATGTGGGAGATAATAAGATTTGGGCCTGTTCAGCTCATGAATAAAGAAAACAATACAGCTCACCAATTGGCAGATAGTGACACAGAAGATCTAGTAGTGAATCAAACAGTCAAGGTATCAACTGGTAGTGTGGCAAAACTTGTCTCTCTGATAGGTGTACTATTAAATCACAAAGACAATAAAAAGGGACAGTATGATACCTTCTGGAGCTATGTATTGTAGAAGGAGAACTGTATCTTTACATTCCCTAATACTTTAAATATGCAATATTTGTCAAATCTTGAGGCAGTAGCAGAGGTTATCTCTTGACTCAATTTCTATGTCAACTATATACACTTTATTCACAATTCAAAAGAAAAACCTGGCCTCAATCATCTTGAGTCAAATATCCTAAAGGGATTAAATGACTTACCTACACATACCAAGCTGGCTGTATTTGCCTTATACCTGGAAAGTATGTTGTATCCATACATTCAGGAGCTTTGTAAGTCTGGATTGGAGGATATGAATGTGATAGAATGTAGTCTGCTCCTTGTAAAACTGAAGTCTCATGTCAAAAAACTTATTAACTTACCTAGACTAATCCTGAACTCAGATTCGAATCCTCTAGAGGCAATATTTCTTGCAGACAAGGCTAAGTAACAGTAACACAACATTGAAATTGTCTCAGGTCATGAGCTCCTTGATGGACTAGTAGACATTAACACACTGTCATCTGTTGAGTGGAAGAGGCCAGACACAATGAAGGCAGTATGAGTAATGGTAGAGCATCTCCCCCATCTTCACAATGCTTTTGTAGTATTCTTGGAGGTGTCTCTGACAACTTGGGAGAGATTTAGTAAGGAATATGGTGAAAACAGAGAGATCAGTCAGCTCACCAAAGAAGAAAAAGCAAAAGCCTGGATGCCAGCAACTAACAATGCAAATGAAGGGGCTCTAGGGGTGTACAGAATATCTGCCAGAAATCATCCGTCAATGAACACTGAGACTTTCAATACAAAGGCAAAATACTCACAGAACAACACTGAGGACTTTATTGAAGTTAAGCTTGCTGAAGACAAAGAACAAGCTTATCTTTGCTAGGTTGTGCAGGATAGACTTCTTGGGAAACAAGATAAAAAACGAAGAGTCGACATTTCCGAGCAGCACGAAGCAGAAGTTACAGCAAAGTGGCAGAGGATCCAGGAGCAGAAGGACAAGCAAAGCAGTCAGTCAGAGTATCTTAAAGAATTAACACTCAAATTGGACGAAGATTGAGTGCGACAGCTCAAGGTGCCTCAGCTAAAGGAACAACTTGACAAATTACGAAGGTTTGACAGAGATATTCCGAAGGAGAAAGACATAGGGAGAAAGGACAAGAGGCTTAAGATATTACTAGATGCACTTGGTAGATACAAGAATTGTAATGTATAAATTAACTCACTCGTTCAATATAACAAAAAAAAACTACATATTCATATTTGCACAAGAAAACAGCTATATAATATCAATTTTAAATCTTCAAATCCTCTCTATTTAATTAATTATGAGTGTAGTAAGATATGTATTCAACACACTATATATATGCACTTGAATCTGTCTGTTTTCACACAAATTTGATATTTTTTTTTCAAAAAAGGCATAAATAATAGTAAATAGTATCTAAACTAGTGAAATATACAAAAATTTAGTCTAGATTTGCTCCGTTGTATTTTCTACATTAAATACAAGGAGGGCAGACACTCTGTTCACTACATTTCGACTGAAAAAGGGAAATTTTCAAAGTCTGCTCGACCGTGTCTCATAACCAAAAAGCGGACCCCCACTGTATTGACTAGCACATTACTCATAGTCGATTTGGCATTACATTTGATACGATTGGCAGAAGTGTTTTCTCCTTCTACTCCTTAATACTTATTGTTATCTAGAAATTTAATATTATCTCTGAGCCGCTTTAAATACTGGGGTTTTACATGACGTGAATAATCGGAAGTAGGCAATATAAATGTATAATCAATATCTCAGATTTCTGGGGAGTCATGAACTTGCACTGATACCAGAGCTCCTTGTTGCCCTTAACAATTTCTAGAGAAGATAATGTAACACACTTTTATATACTAAGTTCACTGGCCAGAATTGCCAAGTAATGGCTCATGAATTATCGATCAATTCTACTGATAAACTACTGTTTGGATTGTGATAGCGTCAGCGCTACCGAGGTGTGACAGGGTGTTGTTTCTTGTTCGTATCAACACTCATCGTGTGCTAGAGCAAGCTTAATTATGATCTAAATTGGAATCAAACTCTATCTGATAATTTACATTATGCTCTTAGAGGATTGTATACCGAAGAAGAAGCGAACAGGTGTCTCGAGTTAAGAATACACCCTGAGCTAGTTTGGATCGACCGGTGACTGTACTTCTCCGATTCATGCTTGACAGTAAAAGAAAGTGTGCATAAGCAAACGGTATAAAGTCAGTAGCATTTTGAACAGCCCGTATCTCAACACCAACCTCACGTCCAGTTGTTCACCGCTCCATAGTTGTTAGTGTCAGACATCTTACCTATCCTTCCACATTGACTGACAACTCCCCTGCATACAGAGCATTCTGTAATGTCGATCGCCAACGGGAAACTCATCTTCGAAAACGATTTCAAGATCAAAGCCGAGTTCGACAACATCGATGGCAACCACTATGTGTTTGAAATACAGCTTGCTGTCCCCATCCCTCCCTTCGAGCCAGCCGATGCCATCTTGCGCTACAACAGTGAGAGCCAGCTCGAAGCCATTCAGCAAGTCGAGGGTGTTTTGGGCGACCCTGTGTTTAATCTGAATACTTCGCATGGTCTTGTCATCGAAGGCGTGTTCAGCGAGCCTGGCCGGCCGACTACTGCTGTGGTTGGTGAGGGTTTCTGGATCCAAGCGTGAATGTGATGAGGTATGTTGTTTCTGGGAACATCTTCTGGTTGATGGACTAAAAACTATTGATCAGAGCCAAGTGCAATGTATTGCATTGTTAATATGATAAATAGAAACATTTTTTGTAACGTACTAAACGCTACATAAGTTGATAAGGAAATGGAATCAAAGAAATACGCTTGGATTGTATAATAGTGTCGTCGTGCATCTGCGGAAGTTGCAAATCCTCATGATAAATGGTGACACCAGCTACAGCACAACAAGTGGTTGAGTTATTGACAGACGGACAGTAGCAGGTCGAGAGAAAGGGCAGTGCTAGACGGTGCTCTTTGCCAGAGTGTGATCTTGATCAATGTGTGTGCAAGATGCGGGTTTATCCTATGTTGTCGTTTGCAGACTGCAGAGTGTATTTGAAGGCGCGTGATCGGGACGGTCGGCCGAGGTCTGCGTGACGTCAATAGAGCGCGGAAGTGATCGGACCGAGGACACGAGATTTCAAAGAAGTAGACGTCCCTCTCTCTCGCCCTGGTGTTGACTCACATCTACCGTCCGTCTTCTTTGCCTAGATCACGTAATGCCATCCTCCACTGTTCGAATCGCCCTCTCCCTCTTTCCACTTCATCATCATCATCATCAACGATGAGACGAACAGACGAGGAGTCGCCCCTCCTCCACAATGACACTCAAGTCGATTGTGCCACTGGACGTCCAGAACACGGCAACGAGACACCGATCCCTTGGGGTCAGTTCTCCATCACTCTCGTTCTTCAGTTGGCAGAGCCAATGTCTTCACAGGTATGTATTTCGACAGGAAAACTCGAATATTCAATTCCTGACTTGTGTTGATGGCGATAGGTCATTTATCCGTTCGTGCCACAGCTCATCCGCGAAACGGGTGTAACGGGTGGTGACGACAAGAAGGTCGGTTATTATGTTGGTATTATGGTGCGTGTAGTCATAGATTCTACTACGTATTCCTACCATGCCACTCGTACTAAGCAGAATCTATCAGCAAAGCATATTCTTTGCCACCCAGGCATTGACTGTCCTTCACTGGTCTCGCATCTCGGATAGCGTCGGACGTAAACCCGTAATTCTGGTTGGCCTTCTTGGGCTCGCTCTCTCTATGTATTGCTTTGGTTTGGCAAGGTCCTTCCCTGCACTCGTTATCGCGCGTTCGTTGGTAAGTTGATCATATTGATTCCATGCAGTTTCGTAATAATAACGAAATATACAGAATGGCGCTCTAAATGGCAACATCGGTGTTGTAAAAAGCATGATGGGCGAGCTTACTGATAGTACGAACGTCGCGCGCGCATTCGCGTACCAACCCATTTCGTGGTCGACCGGTGCAACTATCGGTCCCCTTATCGGCGGTGCTCTGTCGCACCCGACAGAGCGTTTTCCGGATCTCTTTGGCGGAAATGCGTTCTTGGAGAAGTACCCGTATTTCTTACCGTGCTCAATACCCGCGACATTCAGCATTTTGGCATGGTTTGTCACGCTTGTATGGCTGAAAGAAACGAACCCGACTGGATTTTCTGTTCGTGCGCTCTTCCGCCGCATATTACCGCGAAAGAAGGCATCTTTGTTCCTAAAGATCGACCCTGGACGCAATACTCCAGCGATTCCGAAAGCCCCTCCTCTTAGGACACTCCTTACCCGGCCCGTTCTACTTAGTACAACAACCTATGCTCTTCTATCTTTATTAGATATTGCATACCGCGCTCTCCAGCCCGTCTTCTACGCTACTCCGCGTTCACTAGGTGGCCTCGGTCTTCCGCCTCATACAATTGGTATTTTCCTCGCGTTCCTCGGATTTGCGAACGGTGTATTCCAGGTTAGCTGTTTTGCGAGGCTGACGAAGCGATGGGGGAACAGGAGGGTATACTTATTGGGCATTGCGAGCGCCATTCCGATTTTTGCACTATTCCCAGTTATGAGCGCGATCGTTCACGCGGAGGATCAAGTGAAGATGCAAGGCGATACAGTAGACGTTAGAATAAGCCCCGTACTTGTGGGACTTGTTTCGCTTCAGTTGGGCTTGACGTTATTGCTGAACATGTGCTATGGGAGTGTGTTTATCTAGTGGGTCGTTTGTCCTACATTCAATCATGCAATGGCTAACGTTAAATTTACTCGTAGTATTACTGCCGCTGCGAGTGCTATTTCTCTTAAACTGGCATCAACTTCTACCTCTATTCGTCCGACCCGTCCTGCAATTTCGTCTTCCTCGTCCAGTTCGACGCTCGCACCTACGATGTCGTCTGTCAGGAAATACACTGAACCTGATTCCTCCCCTTCATCTCTGCTCAAAGTCCCTCAACTCTCTGAATCGTCTCTTTGCCAGAATCCTCACTCTCGCGAAAGAAAGTCAAAGAAGAAGAGCGGCAAAAGAACGCTCGGTGCAGTTAACGGTCTCGCACAATGTACAGTCTCTATCATGCGTTGTATTGGGCCTTACATTGCTTCTTCCCTATTCGCAAAAGGGCTGGCTTGGGAATATGGACGCGATGCTGGGACTGGCGGGGATGGTGGTGGGATGATTCCTGGTGAAGGAGGTAGTGGTGAGCCGATTGCGGATTTCCATCCTGGTTCGCTTGCCGTTGAGTTTCTTCGCTCGGGCCAAGAAATGTTTGTGTTCGGTGGTGTCCAGGCGGAGAACATATGGCAAAGAATGGGAGGCCTGACAGTCTATACTGTCATGATTGCACTTACGTGTGCTACTATTGTTGTCGGAATGAGGTTACCTGAGGTTCCTTGGAATGCTGCTGAAGAAGACGACGAGGATGATGATGTGGAAGTTGAAGTCGCTAGCGTGAACGACGAACAATGACGAAGTGCTTCATAGTGTGTATTTCGGATCAACTCTCTTTTTTGGTGCACCTGATAGTGCCTTCTTGGGAGGTTCTTTTTCTTTTATGACCTATCACGACGAATCGTTCGGGTAGACACAAAAATGTAGATAATTTTGTTGTGTTGGGGTTGGAATAAAAAATACGTTTTGGTCTTACTTTCGTTCGTAGTGCAAATTTACATGTGTACAACTCACAGATGTGAAAGGTCTTAAAGTAGGGCATATGATACAGTTGACATCTTAGCACATAACATAGCTGGGGGTAATAATATACTCTAATAGTGTAACAACAGAAAAGTGCCTGTCTGGCACAAAATAAAAGTACTAATTAGAAAGAGAAATGTAAGCATTCCAGGTATTATAATAGGTACCTTTGTAGAACTTTGCTAGACACAAGGTAAGTTATAGTAGAAAGGATGTATTTATGAGTGTAGACAATAACTACACACAAGTGTCTGGTCTAACAGTATCACAAATGATTCATTCCTTTAAACATTATATATTTGTTGTCATTTGATTTCTATCTTATATCTACTCTATCTATAAAGTAGTTCATTGTTATGTTATTATAATTATAGCTCTTTTCTTGTCAAGCAGTTCCTGTAAAGTCCATCAAATTTGATATAAGAGTCATCACATTGCTTATAGTAGCAGTTTGTTTCTTGTTTCCATAGTTGACAATATAGTCTACAGAGCCATTATCTTCAGCAACAAATGATTGGAACATTAAAGCTTTATTGTGTTAACCAAGTACAATCAGACTTTAAATAATATACAAAGAAGAGTAAGGAATAAGATGACTCACTTCCATTATTTATTTTGTCATAAATTTTCCTTGCATCTGCTTGCATAGTACTTGACAACCTAGACCAGTTCTTTCTCATATATTCCCCAAACTTTTGATCTGCATCTGTTAGCATGTTTAAAGTAAGATATTGGATAGTTTGTTGTATTTGTATTTATGCTTGAGTATTGGATTTTATAGTTGTTCAGCTACTCTTTAAATACATTTACTATATTGCATCCTATTACAGATGAAACATTTAGGTTCAAACACATTATTTTGTGCAAACATGTACTTTTCTATATAGGAAATAAGGTAAAAATAACTACTACTAAGAAAATTGCAATATACTATATATATAACTTTGTAAGTACTACAGTATCTTACTAGTACATATAAATTTCCTATTAGTACATGAAACATGCAATATACTATAAATATAACTTTGTACACATTAGAGCCTCTATTACAACTCTAACTCTTATAAGTAATAAGTAGAAAGTAAAGAAGAAAGGTGGCTGAAAGGATACTTAGTATAGTGAACAGTCTTGTACAATGTACAGTGTCTATTATGTGTTACATCAGACCTTACTTTACTTCTTCCTTTTTTACAAAAGGACTGGCTTAAGAGTACAGACATAATGCTAGGACTGACAGAGACAGTAGTAGGGTGATTCCTAGTAAAGGAGGGAGTAGTGAGCCAACTACAGACTTCTATCCAGGTTTACTTAGTGTTCAATCTCTTTGTACAGAGTAAGAATTGTTTATGTTTCATAGAATACAGACAGAGAATTCATACTAAAGAATGAGACTTCTGACAGTGTATACTACTATGATTGCACCTATGTGTACTACTATTGTTGTTAGGATGAGGTTACCTGAGGTTCTGTTAAGACGAGACTACACGAGAGCATGTCTCAGATGATATAAACTACATTACAAGCAATGACGAACGATGATGGAATACCTTCCATCATACATTCTACATCTGAGACATACCTACATAGTATATATAGACTAACTAATCAACAGACGATGAAGCAAGCTGTGAGAGAGCAAGCCGAGTCCACTATCCCCCCTCTTTGTGTGATTCCTCTAAGCCTCTCACATAACCTCTCTTCCCCCTTTCTTAACAGGTTATGAGCCTTGCACTCCCTGCCTACACTTTATCTACACTCTACTATGTCTATGCTCTATACAGTTCTATGCATCACATGCACACACACAGCATACTATGACGTGGAACTTGACTCACCTGTCTGAGTATCCCAAACGCAAATCAATACACTGCAAACGTACAATCTACCATACTACATACGACCCAGACATTATATGATTGTCATCTTAGTGATTATGATTATTGGCCTAGTAATAATGTAATCTATGCAGGCAATGTTGAAACTACAATGAGTATCACTTACTACAATTATTAAATGCTAAAATATTCTATAATATCACAGAGATCATGTTATAATAAATTAACTGATCATACTATGGACGAACATTAAAAAGATTAATAAAGCAAACGCTACTCTTCCACTATTAACATTACAATAGTATAAATGATTGACACTGTCAACAAGCATACATATGTTATAGCATAAATCAAATAATAACACATATAGTAATATCACAGTCGAACGATTAATGCTCAAAACGAGCACATATATGCTAAACAGCATATTAAATCGAATAAATAAAACATTTAACATGTATTATAAACGATAATACAATTACAGACACTATAATAACAATAATAATAACAATAATAATGATAATAATACAGATAGAACTAACGGAACGAATACAGAACAATATAATAACTAACACATATTATGGTTGAGTGATTATATGTAACATATTGGATTCAGTAGTTACATGTTGGATATTGCAATTACTTATCAGATACCAAATATAATACACATATCTAAGATATACAGACAAAACGTATAAACTAACTATGTACAAAAGAATAATGTTATAATGTGTAAATACTAATTACAGCACAAAACAAGTGCAAAAATTATAACTATTAAACAAATGATACTACTTTACACATTAATACAATTGTGTAAATGCATACTAACAACAAACGAAAGAATTATATCTCTAATATACTTGAAACAATGCATCAATACAACTTAATTATGTAGAATGTGTTATCACAGCAGTTGATTATATAATAAATTTCGAAGTTGTAACAGTAACATCAACTGTACAGTGTATATACCTTAACGAACGATTATTAAATTTACATTGTAACAATGTAGCTTGTAGGAGCAAAGTATTAAGCTAATAAGGCTATTACAACGAATAATACATATATTATTATTACAAACACATTATTATAATAATTACAATCAAAAACAATCATAATATAATATGATTAAATAAATTAATAAAATGTTTAAGCTATTATCTCAGACAGTATAATATAAAATAGGCAATAACAGACACAAGCATACTTAATAGAACTCAGTGCATTTACTAAAAGCACTACATAAATAATAATTATAACATTATTAAATGAATATTATACAGAAACAAACAAATTACCAGTTACGAACAATTATTAATAAAAGATAATAAGCATGAACAAAACTCGTATATTATACATAATGTGTACTTATCTACTATAACGAACAAAATACACATTATATAAGTTGACGAACGTTAACAGTAACAAAGATATAATAGTAATACCACTTAAATTACTTATTATAGAACATAACAAACGTTACACACAGCTTTAAAATACTAATAATTAGAAATCGAACCTTGAAAGCAATTACAATTATTATATATAAATATTATATTATAACAATGATTAATAAACGTTAAAGAAATATCCAATTCTTCAAAGAAATACCTTCTTGAATTGAAGGGGAGAAAATGGATAATATGCACAAACAATTAATAACTAAATATAAACAACAGAACAGAAAGTATAACACTACAGACACTATGAAAAATAGAATAAAAATAGAATAACAAAATTCACAGACTAAGCACTGACTAAGCAATAGAAGTTACAGACAGACATAACAGATCATAAAGGTAAATCATTCGGTATGAAGCAAAATTACATTGATCAGAACTAAATAACAGAAGTCAACACAACGTGTGATTGAACTTTAACATTAAATAAATAATGATTCTACTACGAAACAAATGCTCATACTTGGCAAATAATATTAATATAATAATATAATTAACTTAACAGTGTTTAATACGAAAATAAATAATATACAGACGATTATCACATCATATAACAAAATAATTCATTAATTCAGACTATAGTTCATGGATAAAAGTGATAAATAATGAAAATAATACTTTGGAACATACATAAAACAATAAATAATATATCTGTATGATAATATGAATATAATTGTGATATAATTCACAACTATAACGAACAATACACAGATAATAACTATATAAACAAGTATGGAGCACATACATATAATTAAATAAAACTATTAAATCAATTCTTGTACAAACAATCAATTTGCCCTCACTGCACAATTAATACAAGTGTGAACAGCATTATAATACTATGAAATACATTGGATAGATACTAATAAGAACATTTATACAATGATTCAAATAAAATAAATAAAACTGATATATAAAACATTTTACCTAGCAAACTAATTAACAAATAAAACATTGAACGAATACTACAATTGCACATAGCACTAGATTAACTAAAGAACACTAGGAGACAATTATAGTAAACATAATCTGATATATCACTTATATGCAGATTGTGTTACAATACATCATTCTTTACAAAAGAAAAAGCAAAGAACAATAGCCATAACATACACACATATATATATACAATACTACAATTGCAACAATTCACAATAACATTGTTAATGATAAATAATACAAACGCACGTTAGTAATGATTTACAACAGATAACTATGTTGGCTATTAAAGAAACAATACAACAGATTGCATAGTTACTCAGGATGCATCAGAAACAATCAATTAACAAACATAACATTAATAAATTAATACACAGATATAAACGATAATGTAAAGCAAACGAACAAACAATACATTCATGATATAATATATATATGATGCACCTAGACACATAGTGAGATGCCTACAGCCAGACATAACATCTATACAACAAATATATGTTAGCATAAAACCTCATTGATCTCAGAATGAAGCAATCTGACAAAAACAAATATTATTATTAATATTACTGATATACAATCAATACAAAGCTTCAATCTGAAGACATAAATCAGTTATTACTGAATACTTAATGCATATACGAATGTAGACGAACATGGACAGTAATAATTAAAGAAGGATATTATTGC